AGGCGATAGGGGCCTATTTCTGATCTCACGGCCCGGGGACGATTTCTCCTGCGGCTCGAGGAATTAATCCCGTGTAAATGTGGTTAGGATCAGCCTCCTGATGGGGATTTTACTTGGCAGTAGCCTGTGAAGACACAGTATTTTGGTAAGAAAAAAAAAAAAAAAAGCGGCTCTGCCAACCCTATTCCGGCTTCCATTCATTTGCGTCCCAGGGCTAACTTGTAGTCATCTCTGTATGCTTACAGAGATGTAAGGTCTTCACCAGGACCCGACTAGCGCCAGGTCTGCTTAAAGGGTGGGTGCCGGACGGGCGGGCGGGCGGCTCGCTGACCTCCCCAGGGACCCCCGGCCGCCGCCCCGCCGCGTCCTCGGCTCAGCACCCCCAGCCTCTCCGAGAGGGGGAGCGAGCATGGCGAAGGAAGTGCTCCTAAACTGAAGCGTTTCTCCGTTCCTCCGTAAAACCAGATGAAAACCCGCCCTTGAGCCCGGCGGGTGCGCGGTAAGGCAGAGTTCCCTGACACAGCGAGAGGAGCTGATCGCAGTACGAAATGGAGAGGGGAGGGCAGAAGAGCCTGCGCCCTCCCGCCCCTTTGCATCCGTTTGTCTTGCAGTTATTCAAAATGATTGAGTTTTCTGAAGAAGGTCCTTTAGAGAGAGAACAAAACCAGCAACAACCTCTTCCTCCAAAAACAACAAGAATATCAACCTGTCCACTGGCAAGGCTTCGGAGCTTAGAGGCATTATAGTAAAATTTATGGCGTCCTTAACAACTCCCAATAAAGGCATTAAAATTCCCTTTAATTGAGAAGACATTGATTTTTAACTCTGGAAAGAACGAACCCGTAATTTAATTGCAAGCTTTCACCGACAGAGCAGCATCTCAGGGAGGCCACATTCCATCTTTAATAGAGCCACTTTATGAAGTGATAAAAACAAAGAAAACCTGACAAACAGAGACAGTTCCAACTGCGCAAGAAAAGTTATCTGCTTTCCCTTTCCCTCTTCGCAGCTCCAAACTATCGCGCTCTTCTCTCCCTCTTCATCCCCCAGTCACAAAACACAAGTGTAAAAGCAAAGGGTTTGGGGTCCAAGGGAGAAGCAATAGTCAATATCTTAGATAACGATTTGCTTTTACTAGGCAAGGAATGATGCCAAGAGTTTTAAGGGAACATTTTCACAAAATGGTAGCCTCTTCTGAACAGGAAACTAATCAGATAAAACTTCCTTACTCTTCCTTGTTCGTTACAAAAATCATTGCTAAAGAGAAGGAAAGGGAAATCCCTTTCTGTCTTATTTCAGTATCGGTTTTTGGTATTACAGAAGAGTAAAGAAGTTTTTGTTTGGTGGTTTTTCATTGATCAGTCACTCTGAGCTAATGTAATTATCCTCATCAATAGAAGGCTGCAGAGAGAATCATTATGTGGGTGACATTGATAAATGATCACCCAAGAGCTGCCTTTTCTCTTGGGCACCCCCACATATGACCCTCCCACATACACAAGGTAGCCATAGAAACACCTTGAGATCGTCAAGCACTGCTGCAAATGGGAGAATGCGGAGAAAGAGAGAGAAATTCAACTTCACACACTTTCTGTCCCTGTTGAAGCCTCCTTCCCATAGTACGGAGCCACTGAGCCGGGCTCCACTCCGCTGTCCTGCACCGTGGGCACGCAGCCGGGGCCCGGCCCCGCGCCCTTTCACGGCACCATACTAAGTATTGGGGGGAGGGGGAAGTCTTATGGGGTTTGCCTCTGGCTTTTTTTGATCTGTTTTTTCACTGTCTTTTTCTGTAAAAATTAAGCAATGAGGTTGCATGTACCATACGTATTCTACGCGCATAGCGTAACCCCCCAGTTTGAAAGTCGCTCTTGGAGATGCACAGCCACAATATTCACCCCGTCCCCAGTAGTGCGACTCTTAGAAAAATGATTTAACCCAAAGTAGTAGCAGCGATTTTTTTTAGTCACAGGACTATACAGCAAGATTCTGTGTTTCTTACGACGGCAAAGATTAATTTTTTTTTCCTCTGGCCGCAACCCTCCTTTTTATGCAAGCAAATTCTAAAATATTGAGAGCAGTAATTGATTCATAATGATCCATAAATCCATGCAAGGAATGGGGCGAGGGTGGGGGTTTTTTGTGTGTTTTTTTTTTTTTTTTTTTTTTTTTTTTATTATTATTATTATTCCTAAAGCTGCAAGTAAAGTAGGTTTGACACCGTGTGGGGATGAAGGGGAGGAGTTGTTTAGCCGTGCGGGGTCATCCATCATCACTGTCGCAGAGACTCTGCCCAGAGGAACAACCTCCCTTCTGTCTGTCTCTTTCTCCCCACCAAAACTATTAATATTAAAATCTGCCTGCAACCCTTGCCCCCACCCTCCCCTCATCTCGCCCGGTCCTGCTCATCCCTTAGCGGCTGGGCTGCCCAACCTGGAGCTGGCTCGCTTCCGCGCAGCGCCAGCGGGGTTGATTTTTCCCCAAATGCTGTCAGGAGAGTCAAAAATCCGGCCCAATTTCCTGTCAGCTGAATCCAGGGACGTGGTAGGGGAGATTTGTGGGGCACAGACACCCTCCCACGCAGTGGAGCCCTCTCTTGCCACTCCGCACACCGCGGCGACGCGGTCGCGCCTGGGAAAAAGATTCGGGCGTTTTCCGGGCTCCATGGGATTTCTTCACAGCACACGCATCAGGGGTATAGTGGGGCTAGTGGCTCCGGACCGACCTCCGCAAAGGCGCCGCCAGGAGACCCTTACTCCCCGCGGGAAGCCTGGGGAGCCGCTGGAGGGATGGGCGAAACCTACCGGGAGAGCGGGTCAGCCTGTGACCCCGCCGCACCCCTTTCCCTGCCCGGCCCGGCCCCGGCCCCTCCCGCCGCCCCCCCACCCCCCGACCCTCGCAAACCTGGTTGGGGGCAATTCTCTCTCCCTCGCTCTCTCTGCGGCTATGAGTGAAAGGGGGGCGCACCCGGCTCCCCCCTGCATCTCCTCTTCGGCCCCGCGGTGCCCGCTCGCCGCGACGGGCAGGGCTCGGGCGGCAGCGCTGCCGGAGGTGCGCTCCCCTCCTCTCTTCGTTTTTAAGGCAGCAAAATCTGGAAGAAAAATCCCTCATTTATGGTGACTACAAGTCCCAGCCCAGACCCGATCGGCGAAATGGAAATTCGGGATTATAAACATGTGTGTATGTAAACAAAAGGTGTTTCTTCTGTTACCCTTCTTTTCCCACAGCATAAGCAATTTTTATTCAGATTCGAGTATTTTCTTTAACACTATACCGCTGTCAAAACATTATTCCCGTTTTGTTTGCTTTTGACAGCTGAGAGGTTCTTAAAAATAACAAAATCGGAACCTTCCATGCTAAACAGTAAATCTCAGATGGAGAAATCTCTGCACGATATTGTACCTTAGATTTCAGCAAGACATTTCACGGAAAGCACAGCCCAAAAGGGTGAGAAAAAAAAAAAGAAAGAAAATAAAAAACAACACAGCAATGCACATATTTAGTTCATTATAAAAACAAATAATCTACTATAGATAAATTCTTCCCTGTCCTTCTACCAGTGCAAGGACCTTTTCTAACATTTCTCCTCAAATTGTAGGGAAAAGATCTGAAAGGAAATAAAGTCCTGATTAAAAAAAATTGAAAGCCACTCCTTTAAAGTGTTAACACAAATATCTTGCCTTCATGTTTTCCGCATCCACAAAAATCAGAGAATTTGGAAATGGGAACCCAGGGTGTGCTCTTCTCACATGACTGAAGGGTTGATGTGATTTTAACCACGACAGAGAGTATCAAAGCCGAGCAGGGAATTATCATCTTAATTTCATACGAATGCCTTTTAAAAGATGCCCACAAAACAGGACCCGAGTGCTAAATAAATCCTCACACCCATTCTACTGGCACCCTCCCTTCTGTCTCGAGCAGCGTGGGTCCATTTACTCAGCTCAGAAATCAAACATTCACTATGAGGCTGAGCCTCTTTCCACATTCCAGAAGTAAAAGTTGTCACTCAAAGTTTTCAATAACACCCCGGCCAGTGGGAATGATGAGGAGGAGGAAGGAGAAGGGTTACGAATTTACTGATATTGAAGTCAGTAACTTCTCTTTCCTAGAAAGTTGAGGTAATTACAAGCCCTTTCTCACTCCTCATCTCCCAGAAATAAAGGCAGTTTTCCCCTGCTCTTTGCCCCCCATCCTGCTCTTGCTGACTTAACCGTGCCACCGACGACAGTGAGAGGCTACTGTTTCTAACAATGCTCTGTCTTCCTATTTCAAACTCTCCTTTAGTTGCTTCAAAATGCCATAAGCTTTTGTTTAAGTAAAACCAAACTTTCACCCATGATTCTGCTCCAGCTATTTATATACAAAATGTCAAATCAACATCTTCCCTCATTAGCCGATGGTTTGTTGTTTTGGGGTTTTTTGTTTGGTTGGTTTTTTTCTTCTGAAAACAGCTGAAGACAAGATAAGCAGTAAAAACCATCTCAAAAGCTAGATTACACAACCCTCGCACAGAAAAAATTCCCATTAAACTCAAAGCTTCTTTTCTCCTCCTAAACCTTTCAAACGTACCCCTGCAATAAGGCCATTCTTCCCCTCTGAGCTAAATACCTGGAGTTAAGGTCTGTGGTGGTTATGAATGCACACACACATACATGTGACACACATGGGATTAGTTGTCTCATGTCTGAACCTTCACAACTCAAACTCAGCTAATATGTTATTAGCAGATAGTATGGATATTAGACACATCTCTCTGAAATGCAAGCTGGTGAGACAATATTTCAGATTTTGCTTAGTCTGGCATAAATCTAATATCAATAATCAGCAGAAATATATAACCTCAGATGTCCTTTCATTCAACTATTCTATTAATGCAATGACAAGCTTGTTTCTGATTTTTCCAACCTTTCTTCTCAATGCTGATAAAAAATGTGTTCAAGACATCTCTCATGATAACTTCACATTCTCCTAAACATAATTAAAACCACAAAAGCCTAACAAAAAATCAAAAATGAAATATTTATTACCGCATTTTGTGACTTAACACCTTTTTTTTTCTTTTTGAAACATAACGTCACAGTCCTCATACAAGTATTTTAATGTAAATTTTGACAAAGCTTAAAGGTAACAGCATTTTCTTCTAGTGAGGAACACGTGCTGAGAAAGGAAGAATTCATGGACATACAATACCAATTCCACAGCAGATCTGATACTAGCAAAAACATTCTTTTTTTTTTCAATTGAGGTAAACACATAGAATATCTAACATGAAACAATTAATAGACCGAACTCTGTACGAAGTTTGTTACAGTATTCTCTTGCTTTTTTCTTTTTTTCCCAAGCTTTGAGTTCATGATAAAGTCCTAGGTTTGGTGCAAAGACCATTAGTAACTTCTTTCATTTAGGAAAGCTGCCCAACTTTTAGTTTTGTTTTGTCCAAAGCCAAGGCTCAGAACTACTGGAAGAAGCTTCTGCTCTGTCTGTTCTGTCTTTTAAATCTTCACCTGCAAGCTCTTTGAAGAAGAGTCCAAAAAAAAAAATAGATTGGGAAGGAATGGGGAGAGACTTAATGAAGCACGAACTATAAAGATCTGTTTGAAACTAAAGGACACATTTTATGAAGGAATGAAATGAGGGAATGGCAAGGCCTTCTTGGAACAGTCTTCTGAGTGATGAGAGACCCAGCAAGACTTTTTGTCTTCATCTCCAGGGTAGTTCTTTTCTCACTGGCCAAAACAGGTCTTTCATGTATAGTGACTTCACTGCTGAACCAAAACAGTCATTCTTTTGGGAACAACACACATAGTGTGGAAAACAAGGATTTTTTTTCTTCTAAAACTATTTGAGGCAACGTAACGGAGTGATCAACAGAAATGTACAAGTTAACTTAGTTCCTATGTTTATACTACAGTAGTTATAACTCTTGGAGTCTTTTTTTTTTCCAGAGGATCTGTACATGGACATATTCATTTCAGTGAGCCCATGATTTCACATTTGTGTTCTTGTTTCGTTGGTCCTCTGTTGTTGATGAAAAATGACAAAAAGTAAAAAATAATCACAGCTGTCTGGAATTTCGTATTAAGTGTCAACATCTGGTCAAAGTTCAAAAGTCTTAAAATAGTTTCTGTTTGTCTTTGTTTTATTTTTCCCTTGAGTTCCTTTATACTATTGGGCATGAATGTCCATAACCTGTCCACCAACACTGGGGTCTACAGAATTTAACATTGTGGGGCTCTGTGCTGACATGGTCATTCCAGGGTGGGTAGGGGGTCCTCCGTGCATCATCATGGCTGGGTGGTGGGGGTGACTTGGCAAATATGAATGGATTGGGGGTCCATGTCTTAATTGAGTAGGGTGTGGGGTCATCTGGGGAGGAGTGTAACTTGGCTGTGCCATACTCATACCCATAGGACCACCCTGAGATACGTAGTCCCCTGGCATGCCTTGCAAACCTAGACAAAAAGGGGAAAAAAAGCAGGTCAGATTCCTCAATGTTTTTACAACTTACCCATCTAAAATGAATAGGAAAAACAACAGACACTGCAAATCTTCCATCTAAAATTAGCTGCAGATTCTTGCCAATGTTTGCAGAC